TACGGGGTGGGCAGGATGCTTGCTAAACATACAGATCCCGGCCCCACTCTAAAGACAACAGCATCACAGTCTCTGGTGTCAGGACCCAGGAATCTGCACATCCACACACCCCCCTCAGAATTCTGATATAAATTCTGATAAGAGCGCTCAGGGAAGCCTCCTGTGAGGGGCTTGGGTGTAACTGTAGACACTTCTCTCACTGATGCCCTCACAAGACAGGAAGCGAGGAGCATAGCATGAGGGAACGGCCAGGACGAAGGTGGGAATTCCACGTCAGCACATTAGTGTGGGTTCCATGCCATCAGCAAAGTTGGGGAAAAAACAGCAGGCTGTCCTGGACTTTTAAGATCATGCTGAGAGCAAGTAGAAACACATGTACCAAACGTTATTGGACCAATCAGCAAGCATCTTAAAGCAAAAAGAGTAAATAAGAAAAAGTTGGTGAGCAGTTGGCTGCTCATTCACAACAAACAAATATATATAAACAAGCGCTTCTTAAACTCGCCTGAATCTGAGAATCACTTGGGAAGTGTGTGAAAAATACCGATGCAGCCTCCACAGGTCACATCTAAGTAGCCACCAGAGCACAGGTGAAGTGGGACTTCTCTAGTCTATAAAACTGCCTGGATTTCCCCAAGCCATCGCCACAGGAAGTTCTATTCAGAGAGCACAAAGAACAGTCTATGTGGGGAAAAGAACTAGGAATAATTGGGAGTAATGTGTCTACGCTCTCCCATCATTCCCAACACCCAGAGCAGAGCCTAAATATCAGAAACAGCTGTCCCTTTCTAAGAAATTCGCTAGAGCAGCAATAATTCAATTGTAGTCCAGAGACCCGCAACATTATGGAACTTGTTAGAAATGCACATGCTTGGGCCTTCCTCCAGACGTACCACGATGTGAGGTGTGGCCCAGGGATCTGTTTTAACAAGACCCAGGTGATTCTGATGTGTGTCAGAATTTTATATGCACTTTTTTCCTAAAGCTTTCTGATGGTCAATACGGCTTGCTAGGCCTCTGTATGGGCAATTCTGATTGAGCTGCTAGAACAGCGGTTCTCAACCTGTGGGTCGCAACCCCTTTTTAACAATGAAAATACAGAGACATTAGGAAGATTGAGAACCACTGTGTAGACTAAGAACCTGAGAATTCCATGTGTACAATTATCCCCAGGTGACTCTTACCACGTTAAGTTTAGGAGGTTCGAGGTCCCTCCCTGCTTTCTCATCTCCATGAATCCCGATGGACGCTGATGTTCTGATAAGAGATGCACATAAAAATCACTGGTGGAGCTTTTTAAAAATGGATTTTCTGGCCGTTCCCCAAATTCTCATGAATCATTGTCTTTGCCTTCCTTTTTGAGAAAATGGTATCGAGATGCTTTTCTCCACCCTTTTGTTTCCAAAGCTGACAACCACCTCCACTCCTGTCAAGAATTACAGCTGCCCCCTGCCCCAGGTGGAAGGCTGCCATCCCTTAGACATACACGATGGCCGAGTGACATTCAGCTGCCTGACCTTTAAGTGGTTAGCATCTAATGAGCCCTACAAAAAATAGCTGTTTTTTTATGTGACAGCTCCTTTAACCTGGACACTTGTAACAGTCCCCAATAGCTTGGCCTAGAAATCTTGGGCACAGCCTTGCAGCAGCTCAAGTCCTCTCGGCCAGCCACCACCAGTTCTAATGGAGACTTTGGCTGCCGCCTCGTTCGTTCAGCACAAAGTCCTTCCTACACCACCTCACCATCCTCGTGGGAGGAAAAACAGCCTGCGAGTTAAGCAGTCCTCCTCAATCCAGCTAATGAAACTCAGGTTTGAAAAGTGCCCACGCATCGTTCCTTGCTATCCCAGTGTGTGTGTGGGGGGGGGTGCCCACATAGTTCCATCCAGAATGCTAGAAACTGTCTCAAAAGTAAAGCTTTGGGATAATCCCCATTTACTAAACAACGCACACAGAATAGCACTGAGCACATTCCTGAATATACGTTGTATACATACCATATACAGTCTCAGGGAAAGTTCCATTCTTGGTCATATTACTTATTGTCTGCTTATTTATAACCTGAAGAATCTAAATGAAAATAACTATCTTCCTAGGATTTTAAGACCTCTTAAATCTATTAGAAAAATAAACAATTGCCCCACTGAACAAATTTGCCAGTTTAATTCTGTTCAACTTAGTTCTGCTTCCACTTCCACTTCAGACAGTTTGCTCCTGTGATTCGACTTAGAAGAGCAAGTTGGGTGAGCCAACTTTGAGTGAGGGGCCACAACGTTGCCTGTTCTTTTCTGTTTAAGGTTTTGTAATAAGGCATTTACTGCATTTCAACAAAAATAAGGAATTCAAACAGTTCTGAATCTAGTACGCATACTAGTGACCATCTCCAAAAGCCTCCTTTAAATAGAAATTAAGTTCTTCCTGGAATCTGTGATCGTGACACCTTTGCTTCATTTGATATAGACTCACAATGAGATTACCGTGCTGGTGCAGGGTCTTGATGTTATCAAATAGTCTCCCTTTGGAGTTATGGCACTGATATTAAACAAGTACCATTGATATCAATGTATCACATTAAAGATAATGGAATGCTTTCGGTTCAAATATGACTACATACACATATGTTCTCTCTCTGGATTCACTACTCTGTATAGACACCTATTCCCCTATCAGTGGGTTAACAGTATGCCTAAAAAAAATTTTTCTTGGGTCTTGCTCTGTGTGGAGTACAGTAGCCCAATCATAGCTCCCCGTAACCTCAAACTCAAACTGGGCTCGAGAGATCCTTATCTCAGTCTCCCACCACATAGATGGGATTACAGGTGTTTGCCATCCCACCACGCTCTTTTTAAAAAGTTTTTGGTAGAGAAAGCATTTTGCTCTTGCTCATGCTGGCCCCAAACTCCTAACCTCAAAGAATCAAAGAATCCTCCCACCTTGTGCTCTCAAAGAGCTGGGACCACAGGCCAATAGCATACAATCTTAATTACTATAACTTTATAATGTTCTATATCTAGAAAGAGTAAGTCCCTCAACTTTGTTGCACTTCAAGAAAAAAATAACTTTTGGCTTTCCATATATATTTTAGAAGAGGCTTGAAAACTGAACTTGTGAATTTTTTTTTTTTTTTGAGACAGAGCCTTAAGCTGTGGCCCTGGGTAGAATACCATGGCATGACAGCTCACAGCAACCTCCAACTCTTGGGCTTAAGCAATTCTTTTGCCTCAGCCTCCCAAGTAGCTGGGACTACAGGCACCTGCCACAATGCCCAACTATTTTTTGGTTGTAGTTGTCATTGTTGGGCAGGCCCAGGCTGGATTCGAACCCGCCAGCTCTGTTGTATGCGGCTGGTGCCTTAGCCACTTGAGCTACAGGTGCTGAGCCTACTTGTGAATTCTTAAACTTAACACAGAAACAAACTTCCTGAGATTTTAGCTTAAACTGCACTGAAATGACAAGCTAAAATAATTTGGGGGAAAATGATACTGTTATAAAAGTTTTCCAATCCACAAACACAAAAACATCTACTCGCTTACTGACGTCCTTGTTTTTTTCTCAAACATGTTTTATAATTTGCCATGTAGAGATAATGTACAATTTTGCTAGATTTATATCCATAAGTTTGATTTTTTGATACCTTTGTAAATAACATTTTTAAATATTGCATTTTCCTAGTTGTTACTGATACACAGAAATGAAAGATTTTTTTGTACATTCGTCTTATATCTAGTAATCTTATTAGAATAATTTTTTCTAATAGTTTTTGTGGGTTTTCTTTTTTGAAACAGTCTGACTTTGTTGCCCTCAGTCATAACTCACAGCAACCTCCAACTCCTGGGCTTCAGGTATTCTCTTACTGCGGCCTCCCAAGTAGCTGGGACTATAGGCACCTGCCACAATGCCCAGTTTTGTTTTGCTTTTATATTTTCTTGCAGTTTTTGGCCAGGGCTGGGTTTGAACCCACCACCTCCGGCATTTGGGGCCTGTGCCCTACTCTTTTGACCTGCAGGCACTACCCTGTATTTATTTATTCATTATTTTTGAGACAGAGTCTCAAGCTGTCTCCCTGGATAGAGTGCTGTGGAGTCATAGCTCATAGCAACCTCCAACTCCTGAGCTCACATGATTCTCTTGCCTCAGTTTTTCTATTTTTAGTAGAGATGAAGTCTTGCTTTTGTCAGGCTGGTCTCAAACTTGTGAGCTCAAGAAATTCACCTGCCTCGGCCTCCCAGAGTGTAAGGATTACAGGTGTGAGCCACCACGCCTGGCTATATTCTAATAGTTTATCTTTGGATTCTTCTTGATTTTCTTCAATGTCAATTATAGTTTCTTCCTAAAATTCATTTAAAGAATTGATCTATAATACTCTAGAGTTTGTGTTTGAAAAACATTAGACTAGTTGACATATAAAACTTATATATTAATTAAAACTATTCATGTTAGAGTAGAAAATCTGAATTACTGGCCTTAGCACAGAAGAGCAGAAAGGATATCTAACACATAAAGAACACATCTATTCTTTTGGAAGCTCAGGAAATACATACTCTGTGACCCCTCTATTCCCACCTCCCACCCGCCACCCACACCCCACACATCAAGAGAAAAGAATGTTGGCTTTAGATCAAACTATATTTCCCTGTCTATTTCTTTTTCATGTATGAAAGAAAACAAAAGACTGGTTGAAATGATGTGTTTTATTCACCCCTACTAAGGTTGTATTCTGTGAGGATTATCATCCTTGATAGCTCTTTTAACTTCTGGAAGACATCCTTTCCCCACTTCCTTATCTTCTCTCTTAAATTCTCTTCCTTCCTGGGGTTCCTGAGTAGTTAGCATCGTGCAGGCTGGCTTGCTGCTGTTTGAACTTTTCCTGTATCTGGAGAGATATGAGGTTGGAACCAGGTCTGGTTGGTTGCATCAAAAGGCAATGGACATGGAAATGGATACTAATCCACCCACTGTCAGACCCAAAGAACTGACACGAAATGAAGGAGCAGAGCCTGTGGTTCTGTCTTTAGCAATATTTATTGGAAACAGCAATGCTCCCCATGGTAAGTTTATACAACAAGCAGTAAGGGTTGCTTTCCACTCCACACGATCCACTACTGCAGGTGGCACATCAGAAGCAGCACGTCACACCTCTGAAAGGGTCTGTACAGCTAGATAAATAGAACTCTGGAGACCTCACAGGACATTCATGGCTCATACAAAAAAATAAAACACCGACAAGCATACACACAGCACTGTACACACAGAATGAAGATAAAAGGGAAGGGAGCGGAGAGAAGCAACGACTGACTGGGGGAGGAGTTTGTCATATGCAGCCACGTAGCTTCAACTGCTAAGCACAAAAATCTTTATTTGGTCCTCATTGAGGGCAGAATATGCACAAATGATGTTCAAAGAACACAGGGAAAAGCAAAAAGAAAAGATTTGTACTGTTTCTTGGTCTATGAACTAGTGGGAAAATGATTACTAGTGTTTTTCTCCTTGTGTCTCTGCCAAATGGATGCACAAAACATGTAATTCATAAATAAATAATACTGAAGTGAAGATATTTCCTCTTCGCTGTATCCTTCAGAAATTGCCTAAATACAGACATAGTTTCTGTACAGCAAGAAATTTAAGCTTAGACACCAGATTTCTTCCCAATCCCTCATCGTGGAGAATTTCCTCTTTTTAGCTCCTCCCACAAAGTGCTGATTGCTGGATCACTTCAGAACCAATAGGAATTGCCCTTCTGGCATTAACAGCAAGGATGGAAGAAAACTGGTTGGACCTCAGAAAGAGACATGAGCGTGGGTAACAAAGATGACTGTTTATAGAGAATGCTTTGAACCCACAACAAACACTTTTCTGCTGATAGCATCAAGAGATGAATTCATTCAGACCAGAAGAAAGTTTGCTGGTGAGGGAGGCTTTCTTTTGACGATTCTGTGACTCACATATTCAGGGAGGGACAGTGGGAAAGCAAGAACTTTCACCTCTCTGCATGGAGACCTTGAGATGGCCCCTGGGTGATAGATGCTATCTTCAGTAGGATGGTTTTTCTGAGATGTGGCTCATGGTCATATTCTAAGAAGCCACAGCCTCCTGAGAACTGTGCAAACAGCAGTTCTGTGACTACTGGCTGGTCTCAGATGGTGTCTAGAAAGCACATGCCACGCCCACCAGGCTGGGAAGACACCATCCATCACCTTGTAGGTACACACGAGTCAACCAAAGACACTTGGTGGGGCTTGATGACGTGGACCACTGCAGCCTGCACTTGGGATGTGTTGTAAGCAGCGTTACCAAAGCAGTGGTTAACCATAACTATCTGGGCCAAGAGGAGGTGAGCCAGCCAGCCTAACACCCTAATGGGGCAGGGCAACCAGAATTTCCACATAATTGATGGGAAAGAAGCCTGACTGGCCACGAAGCATCCCCTCATACCAGTTCTCATCAATTTGGTTAGTGAGTGTGATGATATCACCCTCTTTAAAACCCAACTCCCCTTCATTTTCAGGTTCAAAGTCGTACAGGGCTCGGCAGCAGGGCTGATCCAGTGGGGCACCTGGGAGTAAGAGTAGGAGAGAACACAAAGGACAAGGCGTGTTTAACTCACAGTATTACCACCTGCAGCACCCCCTGCTCTCCCCCCTCACGCCTCTTCCTGCTGCAGCTGCCTCTTGTTAGGAGGCCCCAGCATGCACAACAGGGGTGCCTCACCCACTACCAATCTTCAGGAGCTTTCTTGGATCTTTGGAAGTTGTTGGATATTCTTGGTTCTGTTTCCAGTGTGAAAAATGGTCACACCTATTCTTGTGACATGTACAACAGAGTCCATTAAGCTTGCCTTCCTGAGAATGCCCAGATATGGGAGACCCAATGACTTAGAAGTTGATAATGATTTAGGTTATTAACACAGCATGGCCAGAGTTGAACGTTGGCCTTTAAAATCTCTGCACATCTGAAATAACACAATTCATTATAGGTATAATGCTGAATAATATTATAGTTAGGTTTTCATTCTTTAAAACAGTAAGTATAGCCTCTAGAAAAGGCTGTAATGTGATGTAAACAACATACTATAGAACACCAGGTTCAGATTCTTACTCTATATAGCCTTAAACAAGGTACTCCACTCTCAGTTTTTTTTTTTTTTGGTCTGAAATTGAAAGTAATAGAAGAACTTACTCGGCATTCCTATTTTGTGGCTATGAAATAAGGTTATATAAAAAATTATATAATTTATACTCGGTAAGTCGCATATATATACATATATGTGTGTGTACATACATATATATAGATAAATATAGTGCACAGGAGCTATGGCATATAAAGTATTCTACCTTCTGTAAAATAATGATTAAATGGAATGAAACCTTAAAGGGAAACCCTTTAAATGACCAAATATATTAACATAACATGCATACAAATGTATACAGACTCAAACAAATATACATAGCTTTTAGGCGGCTTGGAAAAGAAACAATGTACTTACTTTTTAATTTACACAGCAGAAAATTACTGAGTCTCCAAATGGGAAATGAAATTTATGGTTGGTTTCTGAGCAGGGAGAAGCAGTTAACTATGTATTTATATGACTAGTCCTGTAGCCAGCTAACCTCAGAGAGCCACTGACTACAGCTTGAGCCACACATCCAGGCTGTGAGCACAAAGGACAGACAGCGCCACCTGCCGGTGAGGACCTCACCTTTCCTTCATGGTCTCCTAAGAGTATTTTATAGTTTTCTACCACAGAACGTCAATCACTGGAGATACAAAAGGTAAAGAAAATAACACTGAGCCTCTTTAAAATCCATATCCAGGATACAACTCCTACTTCTTTGACCACCCAAATGTTAAAGGCGAAAATGTCTCAGGCTCACGCTGCAGTCTAATCTGCATGCAGGGGATACAGAGTGATTGTGACAACAGAGAATGCATTACTGGGTGGGTATGCATCAATATTCCTGAGAGAAAATAAAATGTAGCTTTCATTACACCAGCCTCAGTACCATAGCACGATGAATTAGTCAGGGATGGGCGGGTTGAAAAGGAAACCTAGTGTGTGCTGAAATTCAAAATGTACTCTTCTGCAAAATATTCAACCACATACTTCTGCAACGCAAGAAATCCAACTCCACAGGGCCCCAGAGCCGCCTGCTGTCTGTGTATTACGTGGGAATGCGCACAGGCACACGTCGCCCAGGGGCGTTCATTCTCATGCATGCCAGATTCACAGAAGGAAAAGCCAGGAGAAAGATGACACTCCCAGCACTGAACTGAGAAGCAAAGGTGCCACCTTTATGGCCACAAAGGAGAGTCAAAACCAACTGTGTCAGCTGGGAAATTAGTGTGCGCTGATGAGTGAAAGTGAGAAAAAGGGGTGGACAAAGAAAGTTTTATGCAAAGGAAGAAAAGGGAGGGAAAAAGGTAGATGAGGAAAGAACATGGAGTCCTTTAACAGAGTTTCTACCTGACAAGCTATCCCTTAAGAAGTGTATTACTGTACGTGTCCTATGCAGCCAGAAGTTTTGCTCCTAGAAGAGCCAGAGAAATGTTACCAGGTGAATCCAAGGCCCTTGCGTTGGGGTTTGCAGGTCTGAGGTCCTTACCTGAAGGTTTGGGAGTGCCGGTGTGGGAGAGACCCCCGTTGGGCTGAGTACTGTCTGCAGTTGCAAACTCTAGGCTCATCCGTGGTTTTGGCTGATACTCCCTTCTAGGCTGAGATGAAGCTTGTCTTATTCTGTATTGAAAAGAAAAAGGGGCAAAGAGATTACGTATCCAATTAAAAAGTGAAAAGAAAATCAGTTAAGATTCAGAAAATGCTTGGGTACCCCACCTATCTGCGAGAATAAAGAGCAGAACATCAGAACGGGACCCTTAGTGTTCTTATATGTGCGTGTCTGTCTTTTGCAGATGTCCCCCTACAGCTCTGTCCCTGCTGCCTTTGTTCTTTCTCTCAATCCCTCCCTTCCTCCCACACTTTTTTCAGAGCCCTTTATGTAAATATGCATTGTGCTAGGTACCAGGAACACAAAGATGAATTAAGACACAGTTCTTGCCCTCAAGCAGCTTATCTGTAGGGGTGACAGAATGCAACGATTACTATGCTTTATAGTAACAGCTCTTATACGGAGATCTATAAAGCGCCACAGAAATATGGGTGGGACTGAAGGTGAGAGAGGAGTCTGTCTCTCCTTGGGGAAGTTGAGGAAGGTTTAAGGAAAGATGTAAAAGTAGCTGTTGTTTCCAAATGAACATGTGCGAGAAAACAATCGCACACAGAACGTGAGAGGGTTTGGAGGGAGGGAAGGAGGGAATACTGTGCACTCTGGAAAGAGTGAGCAGCTTGAAACTAGGGAGGAGGGAACAAGGGAAGACAGGAGGAAAAGTGGAAAGGTATGGTCAATCCACACATTCTACACGTAGATGAGATTCAACAGAACAATGTAAAACACAATAAAATCAAAGTGAACAAGGCACAAGGTGGGTTCCTGCGTAGGATAAGCAGGAACTCTGGCAGATGCAGTCTATTATTTTTGCCTCTCTCTAGATCATTTTATAGCAAGGCAATGGGAACATGAAATGCAGGGACAGTACAGTACCTCTCCTCCAATCTGACCGTGACCTGCTGCAAGATCTGCACTGCCTGCTTGTGGTACTCCAGCTGGGCCTGCACAAGCGCCGAGAGCTGGCTCACCTGCTCGATCTGCAGAGGGAGGGGAAATTGCACCTCAGTTACCAAGTCACTGTCTGTATGCAGCTGCTGCTGCCCCACACATACAACAGAGCTGCCCTGGACACACGACCTGGGGTGTGGCCAAGCTAGTGTGTGCTAAGCCAGGCTGGGACAGGTAGTCCTCAGGTTCCAAATGGGTTAAGGATGAGAAGGCATCCTTAGGTGTGGAGGCATGCATGTCAGCACCACAAGGAAAGGCGGCCCCAACTAGAACCTTCAGGGAGGTCACAGAGCTCTTATATTAAACTCATGCTTAGCCACAGACCTGTATTTAGGATTTGGCTTCTTTGACTGATTTCATATAGAAAAAAAAAGTGCACTGACCAAAGGACTCTTTGCTCTCTTTACTGTCTGTGCTAAGTGACTAAAAGTGTGGATGTCAACTTCTCACACAGGCACACAAGAGGCAGCGTGCTATGATGCAAAGCCTTTGTCCTCTCATCTGCAGTGTAAAGGGGCACCCTCCAGTGACTGCTCTTCGGTGTGTGTCTCATGCTGTGATTTAGCAGCAGCCTCCAAGTCAACAGAAGTTGTCTTCTGAGTCTAGAAGTGGGGTGTGGCCCTGGGGGCAGGGAAGGAGCAGGGTGATTCAGATCATCCCCATGTCCACAGCATTCCTCCTGAGGAGTCAGGTGGGTCCAAATGCTTTACACAAACACAAACCTACACTGTCTGAGTCTCTGGATATGTTCAGCACATTCCCTTGCCACAGTCAGGAGTAGGCAATGTGCTAGTCGACTTAGGTGTCAACCGACTAGATTAAGGGATCTCAGGCAGCTGGTAAAGCATTGCTTCTGGGTATGTCTATGAGGGTGTTTCTGGAAGAGACTGGCATTTGAATCAGTAAGGAAGATATACCCTGACCCAGTGTGGGGAGATACCATCCAACAGGCTGAGATCCAGGACAGAACAAAAAAGACAGAGGAAAGGCAAATTCTTACCTGTGCCCCACTGGGTTCTCGGCTTATCTGGTTCTCAGGCCTTCACACTTGGACTCAGCCATGCCACTGACTCTCTGGTTCTCCAGAGAAAGATGGCATATTACAGGACTCCCTGGCCTCCATAATCACAATTCCCCTAATAAACCTCCTCTTACATATCTACATCTATATCCTATTGCTTTGTTTCTCAGGAGAGGTCTAAATAATACAAGCAATAAGGACATAAAGGCTCTACAAAAATCTTGGCAGAAGTTGATCACCTACTGATGGGCTGCAAGGTGGAGATGCACAGGGACAGGAAAGATGGTTTGACAGGTCTTATTACACGAGTGGCCAGAAGGAGGCACTGTCCTCATGCTTCCAAGGTAAAAGAAAGCAACAAAATGTCTAAAGCCATGAGTAAGAGTCTGGTACTCTGGAAATGTGAAAGCAGCTTTCAAACTATCTCTCATCTATACCCAACATGAGTTCCTGTGCTACAATCATCAGTGTCAACAGAAATTACTTTTTCAATGAAAATGTCAATTTGACTTCAAAATGCATAACATCTTAATCTATGCTGAGTACTCAATCCTGAATATATTTTAGTAGATATTCTTTTATAATCTGAAGTTAATCTGTCCTTTATTTCAACAGAATATTTTTTAAGCTACTGCATTTATACACAGATCATCAGAAACATTCTTTATCTTCCTGCTATTGGTAAGTCTATCCCCAATCTGAGAGTGTTCAATTTAGGATTACTTCAACATTACAATGGTGCAAAAGTGATATGCATTCAGTAGAAACCATACTTAGAGTAACCGAATAACCATTTTGTTTCTTACGTTCAGTATTCAATAAATAAGATGTTCAGCACTTCACTTAAAAATGGGGTTTGCTTTAGATAATTTTGCCCAACTGTATAATAATATAAGTGTTCAGATCATGTTTAGAGGAGGCAAGGCTAAGCTGTGATGTTCAGTAGGTTAGCTATCCTAACACTACTTTGAACCTACAATGGGTTTATCATGCCATAACCCCATAGTCAGTGGAGGAGCGTATTTACTTTCAAGATTCATTAGTAGATGAAAATCTGGTTAAATCAAACTATGGGAATACAGGAAAAAAGCTAACATTTCTTAACCTACTTTATCAAGTAAAATTATTTTAAAAAAAACAACTATCTACTGAAACTTATACTTGTCACACAGTATAATCAAATATCAATGCTTTTAATGATATACCTTCTAATAAATTAATTTTGTACCTCAATGATAACATTAAATCACAAACCACAGGAGACTCGCTTACATCCATCTCTAAGAGATTGAACATGCTTGACTCAGCAATTTCTTTAGATTCATCAAATTTCTCTAGAGCCTGACGAAGCTCTTCATCTGGAATCTTGCCTTGTCGTTTCTTCTTATAATCAAAATCCAGGCGTCGACCTTCCAACTTCTTTAGATGATGCTGCAAAAGTCAAGGGCAGGAATATAGTTTGAAGGACTTACGGAAAAGGCCAATTTGTAGCTTACTTCTCTAGCACATCTATTAGCTTACAGAATAAGACTACTTTTTAAAATATAATGTCACCAGAGAAATAAAGAAATATGCATCAGTGAGGTAAATACTTCCAAAGGCAATGGTAGGGAACTATCTTTAAAAATAATAAAGAAAACTGTGGGAAATATCAGTGCCCTTTATTTTCTGCCTTTGCCAAGCCAAAGTCAAATTGGACTCTGCCCTTTCCATCCCATGAACAAAGCAGGGGAGGCATGTACACTCTACAGGCACTGAAAGGACACACTCCTAGTGCCCCCACCAGTCCTCATCTTCAAGCGAAAGGGCATCTTATGGGAAGGCAGATGAAAAACACTTTCCTTGAGATAAATTGAGAAAAAATGGTATTCTTGCTTTTTGAATCATCCATTCTGTTAGAATCCCCTAAGCTGCTTATTAAAAATACCGATTCCTGATCACCTAAATCAGAAGGTGCAGGGCTGGGCCTAGGACTCTGTATCTTAACACTTGTCCCGGTTGACTGATGCAGCTTTTGGGGAACCACTCATTTTAGGTTAAGCCTCCCACTTGACATACGATGAAACCCAAGCACAGAGAAGCCCTGGGAGGCGAGCTCAGACGGGATCTCACTGAATGCCCCACACAGAGGAGCGTCAGGCACCATCCCCAGGAGGTGGGCTGCCCAGCTACTGCCAAACATCTCTAGTGACCGGGTAGGAAAGTAGCTTTCCAAAGCTCAAAAGTACTTCCCCCCCACCCCCGACAGACATAGTCTTCCACTAGTAATGGGTGGCAAAAAATGCTGAATGTTCTCTTGTTCCTGGTGTGTACGGCAGGGAAGGAAAGGAGATGAAGATAGACTTGGGAGTGGTGAAGAAATGGGAAGGAAAAGCAGGGGGGGAATAATAGCCAGACCTCCCCAGAAAAAAGCTTCACCAAGCACCGGGCATGTCTGCCCCCATCCCATGCCCAGGTCCAAATTAAAATAAATGTTTATTCCCTTGGAAGGATTATTCTTTTAAAACATATGAACTTACAGTGAGCTATAGGGTAGAGCACTGGAAGTCAGTTATACTTTGGATTTAGGATGAGTCTTCCACTTACTAACTATGTGACCTTGACTGTGTGGTCCAGTTACAAGATTTAAGCTAGAATAAGGAGAACTAGGAGGCTTCAGATCAAGCCGTGGCAGTCCATTTTACAGACAACAAAACTAAATGCAGGTTCAACAAGTATTTTCTGAATGAATGAGAAAATATTACACATAGCATTAGAAACAAAGTCAGCTGAAATTTATTTCTTAGAAATAGCTCAAATGTCCTACCTGTTTTAGAAGGACAGTCAACCCTGCCCTTATGAAAATATAAAAAGATATGTTTACAGAATGATAGAATTATTTAGTTATGCTAACACCTAATACAACTAGCATTTTAGGGGGTGAAATCAGCCCAATAAACCAGAGAATAATTAATGAAATTGTGCATTCTCAGGGAAAGAATGTCATCCTCTTTTTAGGAGGAAAACAAAGTTTTTTTCTGTCCCCCTGGGTAGAGTGCCACGGCCATCATAGCTCACAGCAGCCTCAAACTTTTGGGCTCATGTGATCCTTTTGCCTCAGCCTTTTGAGTAGCTGGGATTACAGGCACCCACCACAATGCCTGGCTAGTTTTTAGATGGGGTCTCACTCTAGTTCAGGCTGGTCTCGAACTCCTGAGCTCCAGTGATCTGCCCACCTTGGCCTCCCAGAGGCTAAGATTCCAGGCATGCTTGAGAAAACTATTCAATATGGAAACTGAACGAAGAGGAGTCAAACACAAGACTGGCGAGTAGCAGTCACAATAGCAGGCCGAAAGGCTTTACATGTCTAGTTCCTCTCAACTTGTCTCACTGGGTTGTTTTGTGTGCCCAGCGCCGACAACATGCACAGTCAGCTAAGAAAGGTCTTCTAAAGGAAAAGGGCATCAGCAGCTGCATGGTTTCAACTGCCACTTTCTAGAGGATGAGTTGCACATACTTGAATTTCCCTAAGGTCTTTGTCATGAAGGTTCTGAAGAGGGTCAATGAAGTTTTGCTTCACTTCCATGTCCAAAGAGTCTTTCACCTCCGAGAGTTCCCGCATGGCCTCCCCCACTTCACCAAGAGCTGGGCCTGGAAGGGGAGAATAAAGCTCTTTTATATCAAAGAACAAAGAGGAAGTGCATTTGCAATAATAGGGCCCTTCACAGAAGAAAACTCAAGGTCTACTCTGTCCTCTGAAGACTATGCAGATAAGAGAGAATATGTAACGCCTCCCAGAGAACAGTGTCTTTTCCATTTAAAGGCAGCTAGTTCTGGGCAACTGACTCCGGGCCTCCTAAGGAGATAGATAACTTTTATTAAGAGTGTAAGACTGTGCTTTTCCCTAAAGTGCAACTTAGGAAGGTCCTTCCCCTCCCTTGTAAGAACTAGCAGTGCCTAATATGGCACCAGCTAAGGCCAATGCATTTAGCAGATGCAGATACCAGGAATGGGGAACATGGTTTAATGAGGAAGGACGGTCATTTGCTGAGACCTCACATCACAATGGGGTGAAAACAGAAGGTGGTGATTGTGGTAGCTAAGCGTTGCAGGAAAGAATATGAAGGAGTATACCATGTCCCACCTGTGGCAAGACAATTAAGTATACAAAAACGAGCAAAGACCTAAAAGAAAGTCCAGGTGCCAGGGTGCTGAATCATGCCACTGTGACTGTCACTGCCTCAAAACTCAATTACCGCCAGACACACCCAATAGAAAGTATCAAGGTGGCTGGAGAAGTCAACCAAAGATAAGGGTCTCACCAGGGGGGAAAAAAATAAAAAAATAAAACTCGCAAGATAAATCACCTTAAAAATGATGAAACAATTTTGAAAATGAATTTTTGGCCAATATAGGCAAGATCTAAAGCTGAGAAAATATAAAGCAGTTTGCCTGACTTCCTACAGAGTTTCCTACTGGCACTGAAATCCCCATGGACAGATGAAAGCCCTGGCAGTATGAGAAAGTACTCGTTACCGAAGTTGCAGTCATCCCCCAGCTCTCTTCCAAACTTGAGCATGGCCTCTGCCAGCAGCGCCTCCGCCTGAGGGTAGCCTGGCCCCTTCTCCTGGCCGCGGATTTTTGACATGGTGTTGATCATGCTGAGCTTAGCTCTGGAAGCTGAAGGCAAAGAGAGAACAGACTTTGAAAGCAGGCGATGTGAGACAGTGAAAACAGGACTGGCTCGCAAGACCAGGCCTCACATCAGCCTATAAACCAGCTCAACTGCTGAAAACTGAACGTCCTTCACTGTGCGGGTGGCAGTGTCTTCACCTAAATACATATGTAAAATGTATTTCCTTAAATTCTTACAAGGAGTGACACAGAAAAGGCACAGCTGTCCTGGGGGAAGCATGTCTAGGGGCTCAGTCCCCATCTCGGGTGCTCTTCTGCACCCCTTCATTTTAGGGGCCCTGGAGTCACTGTGGGGAGCTGAGGGTTCCACAGAGAATATGTTAGAAACTCCCAGACTATGTGATTCTCTGTAGGTTTTATTCTAGTTTCACATTTCAATTCTAAGAGTCTGTGGATTAAAGTAAGGAATCAATGGTAAATTCTTGCAGTGCGTGCCTTATACCGTGTCTCACTTACACTATATATGAAACAGAACTATTTTCAAAATCATTTCTCAGCTAAGATTCTGACGGTAAAGACTCATGAAGAACAAAAATATCATATTCATTAAAAAGACTGAGTCACTTCTCTAACCCAACTGAATCTGAAAATTGGTTTCATGTGTCAAAGATAGCATCTCAGTTTCTTTTTGGCTTTTGTTTTTATAAAAGAAGATACCTAGAAAGCAATTCCAGTTTGGTGGAAGAAATAATTTTATTAACAAATTGTTAAAGCCTATGAATTCATTGATGCTACAATACCTGGGTTCCTTTGGTTCAGAATTAGAGTTGAGATTACAGAGTAAACTAGAACTATGCTCAAGATCCCACCTGCACGGACACCTCTGATAGAGTCACACATAAGGTGACCAGAGATGAAGAGAGTTACCAGGAGGGCACTCCCACCAACAACCCTGTCCTGGGGATACTGCAATGAGCAAGAAAATTACAGTCTCTGCTTTCACAAGGTTTATGACTGGACTGCAGGTAGTAGAGTCTATATACTAAGTGTCAGGATGGGAGTCTAGGACGGTGCCAGAAATATGGCACAGAACTACAGAGTCTGTAGCAGTTAGGCTAACAGCACATGCCAGGGCTGGTGCTGACTGGAAAAACGTAAACTTCACCTTTGGTTTACTTTGTTTTTAGTGGTTTAATGTTTGTTTTGCAAATGTCCAGTTGTTTTTAATTTTTGTATTTTTAATTATGTACAGGTACATAATAGCCATACACATTTATTTTCACAGATAAGTGTATAAACCAGGGTTACCAAAAAAAGGTATATAATGTATATGTGAGTTGAAATATGTATTAAATATCATATTATGGTATATACTTTGAGTAATATAAGTTAAACGTGACTTATATTCATCTTTTATTATCAGCAGATACTGAGGATGACAATTTTAATATAGATTTTTCCTTTCTTAAAATGTGTCCATATGTTTTGGGTATCTTCTGTGTGTTAAATTTCAAAAACTGAAAATGCTCCATCACCACTGATAGGGGTTGATATCAGTGTTTTCTGTAGTAAGTTATATCTCAGCCCCAGGAAAGACAAACCGCGCCTTCCAGGAGAGACTCCGTATCTCCAGGAGTCAGATAAACAGATGATGGCACCAAACATGACAGAGATTCTAAAGGCTAATATGTACAAGGTACTTGGGAACACAGAGAAGTAAAATCAGCAGAAATCAAACAAGCAAACAGTATATAGTACAATTTAAAAGTACAGAACAAGGATAAGGAAAGAAGATAAATGGAGATCCAAAGAAAAAGAGGAAGGAAACCATACCTGGAGGTTAATCCCTTCAAATCTTATTTTGATTACTTTACTTCTAAAGATGTATTCCTTTTATAAAAGACGGTATTGGTGCGTGCTTACATCTCTGTTCTCTTAACAGCTCTCTTCTGGGCAATTGTAAGCAGTCTAATACATCGTGGTGGATTTTAAAATTCATCATTTTAAACATTGTTCAACTATGAAGAGCTTTATCCTCTTACTAATTACTTCAGAATACCTTGAGTATATTCTACCTTTTCACGAGGAGGAAGAAAGCCATATTATATTAGCTTATCTCTTTCTTCAAATGATTCAAAAAACCTATTACTCCACATACTCAAAGAGACAGGGTTTCAAACTCATTTACAAACTCATTAAGTTTTAAATCAAGAATCTTGGGTTAATAAACCTTCCATGTTCTTGAAAAATATCATCAGACCTCTGAATCGACCATCTTTAAATGTTAACACAATGGCTTGAGAATGATCGTTAAAAGAATTCGTTACGAAACTGAGGGTGAACCTAGAAAATACAAATTTAAGACACTCGAATTCCCATAGCGCAGTCTGAACCTGGATTACTTCACCAAGCTGTATGTGCCCCCAGAGAACTGAATCCCTTCTCTTTTAATGGGAACTAACTACTTGCCTTCAAACTCTGTCCCCCTTAGTTTTGCTCTTTCTTACAAACTGTCATCTCTCTGAATATGAGCGTGCCCCCCTCTTCACTTCCCCACCATCACGATACCAGTGCAAGCTTTCCCCATACTTGGGTAACTGCAGATACAGCCTCCAAAAAGTGACCTCTTCCATGGTCCATGAGATCAGGACCCGCGTATGTTGATTTGTGTATCTCCCAGGGAGGATTAGCGTAAAGCAGTGCATTCCGCTGACACTAACATGTATTGCTGCAGGCATGAAGAAATGAATGAGTACACTCTCTTGGAAAAGAGACCTATGGCAGTGGTGTTCACAAGCAGAGCTGTCTGAAGATAACAGAGAACAGAAATTAGAAAGAACTTGTTTCTTTGAAAAATAAATGATGTGGCTTGGTGCCTGTAGCACAGTGGTTATAGCACCAGCCACAAGCACCAAGGCTGGCAGGTTCAAAACCGGCCTGTGCCTGCTAAACAATGATGACAACTACAACAAAAAAATAGCTGGGTGCTGTGGCAGGCACCTGTAGTCCCAGCTACTTGGAAGGCTTAGGCAAAAGAATCGCTTAAGTCAGTGGTTCTCAACCTTCCTAATGCCTCCTAATGTGGTGACCCTTTAATACAGTTCCTCATGTTGTGGTGACTCCCAACTATAAAATTATTTTTGTCGTTACTTTATAACTGTAATTTTGCTACTGTTATGAATCATAACATACTATCTGATATGCAGGATGTATTTTATTGTTATAAAGGGGTCATGACCCACAGGTTGAGAACCACTGGCTTAAGCCCAACAGTTTGAGGTTGCTGTGAGCAGTGATGCCACTGCACTCTACTAAGGGCAACAAACTGAGACAAAAAAAGAAAGAAAGAAAAACAAATGATGTCGCAATTCAATAGATTTCCTTCCTTCCTCTCCTTTTCCCTCCCTCCCTCTCTCCTTTCCTTCATTTTTTGAGAGAAGAGAAATACTTAACCCTGCTGAAGATAGGATTCCATTACAGTAACTATGGAAGTTTGAGACTTGCCAGCCCAAGTCTCCATCCCAGACTTGTCTCCCTGCGAACTAGGCAGGAGTCTCAAAGATTCTTCTCTTGGGAAGAAAACCAGCACTAGAGAAGAAAGCTAAAGAAAACTCAGCTTTCACAAGCCGGAAGCACCAGTGCAACAACCCCTAGGCCAGTCTTCAACCCCAGAATGAAGCCACCAGTTACCAAGCCCCATTCTCCCTCACACAGCTCTACTGTGCTCCAGCTGTATGGAAGGAAACTGCCATGTCACTGATTTTGAAAAAAGTACCTAATAAGAAAGAGACCAAAAGAAACGAAAAATGTGCTTACAGGGAAAAAAAATTCAGGGAGAGAAAAATAGTTACCATTAATGTTCTCTAGGGTCTAAGACATTTTATCCATGTAATAAATAAACAGGAATATGTGTATAAATTTAAATACAATTTAAATCTTCAAGAATTAAGATTCAATAATGCGAGTAAGATATAAAATTTGAAAATCAACAACCACAGATGACAAAGTTGAGGTGAATCCCTCTCAAATTAGAATAAAAAACATGGAGACAGAAAATAGGAGGGAAAAGTATAAAATCACCATCAGTCTAGGAGGTCTAGCAGCTGAATAATGGCAGGTCCACAAAGAAAGGACACGGATGTTGAAGGGAGAAAAAAATGTAAGTTTAAGAAAATTTCCTAGAACGTACATATGTTTTCAGAACAAAAAGGTCCACTGAATGCCCAGCACAATCTATAAGAAGGTGCAGACCGAGGACCATCGATGTGAAATTTCAGAACATCAAAGATAAAGATGAGTCTTTCGGAGAGGAAAAGACAAGTTACATGCAAATGAGTAAGAATTGGGAGGTTGCTGAACATGAGGAAAGATGAGAAATGTGAGAAATCTCCTTAGGAAACAATGGAATGACGACTCCACATTTCTAACAGGAAATCTACAAGTCTACATTCAAATTATCAGTGAAGTATAAAGGTAACAGAAGGACATTTTCTAACACACAAGGCAGGTCTCATTGTTTTTCCTTTCCAAGCTAATGAAAAGAGGCAGTCTACTAAAATTAAGGTATAAATCAAGAAGAGGAATAGAGATGAGATCTAAAAAACAGGGATCCTGCTATAAGGAAAGAGGCAAAGGAAATCCCCAAGATGGTGATAAATGGAGATCTCCAGATGGTCCTTGTGCAGCAGGCATCTAGGGCAACTACAGCAGACACCATGCACAACAGCTATGCGGGGCTCAGGGAGCTGCAGGCTGCAAGGGTATACTACCATACAGTAAATCTGAAGTGTGTATGGCTGCCTATGTTCTGCAGAGGGTCAAGCTACAGGTGCCCATCACTGTACCTTGCTTTACACTGCAGCTTTTACTGGCTTCTTCCCTTCCCTACTACCCTAACAGGGTTTCCTGGAATCACCTTCCAAATCATCTTACACTTGAACCATTCCTTCACTGCCTGCTTCTAGGGGAACTCAAACTAAGGCAGCAACTGATCCAGAGTGCAGATTGGAGATCTCAAGGAGGATGATCACCTGATGTGTTTCAAT